ATATAATTAATCTCCATGTAATACTCAACTTCAGTAATTAGCAGTTTATAACCAGTCTGATTTCGTGTATTCCCAACACCACTTTCTCTTATTTTGAAACACACCCTGGATGTCACATTATCTGTGAATATCTATAAGGTATCTATCTCTATAAGATTTATTTTAAAAATCATATATATTATGCCAAAATAAAGTTTAAAATCACACTTCCATAGATATCTAGTTTGATTCTTTTTTTTTTTCAATAGACAGGGTCTCACTGTAGAACCGTGACTGGCCTGGAACTTCCTAATGGTCCATGCTGTCCTTGAACTCACAGAGATCTGCTTATCTCTGCCTCCCCAGTGCTGGGGTTAAAGACATGAGCCATCATACCCAGCCCAGTGTCCAGACTCGGGGTACACATGTAGATGTCCCGTTGCTGTGCTTGTGCCTCCAAAGTCTCTCAGCTTTTCACCCCTCTGCTGGGTGTTACTTGTGTGCCACCCAGTGAGTGTCTCCCTGTCAGGGCTGGGCAGGGAAGGAGGTGACCTCAGCACACAGGACGGTACTGGCTTCTGCCAAAAAGCATAAAACACAGTGGGTCACTCTGCACAGCCCTGTGGAAGTTTCTACCTGATAAATGTAAGAAGTGTGCTGAGCACTGTTCAGTGCGTCTGCAGTGATTTTTAATGAAGTAGGCCAATTGGAAGGGTTCCTGTATTTTTTTTCCTATCCACTGTTCTTAGACATTTATATTTTGTTTAATAGTGCTGCTGTGGACAGTTTGATCTGTCTGGTTATCTTCTTGGAAGCACATTCCTAGAGCAGATGAGGGACGGGCAGGTTTCTCTGGAAGGGCTTTGTGGGGTGTGGTCTGTTAGCTACTCTGCTGTTCCTAGAGCAGAGCACAGCTGGGGACACTGGGCAAAGGTGGAAGGGGCGGTGGGTGTGAGTGCAGGGTGTGGTGGGCAGAGCCTGCAGTGCCCCCGCCATGTGTCCAGTGCAGGATAACGCATTGCCTTGACTGTCGCAATGCTCTGTGCTAGGCTGGCATACTCCCCGTGTTGTAGTGGCCACTGTGTGGAACTCGCCAGCCTCTGTTCTCCCATAGATACGGTTTGGAGTGCCTTTTTCGATACTACAGTTATGGCCTGGAAAAGAAGTTCCGGCTGGACATTTTCAAGGACTTCCAGGAGGAAACCGTGAAGGACTATGAGGCAGGTAAGAGTCGGCCAGGCCTCCACAGACCTCGGGACCTCTCTTTATTTCCCAGATCCCTATCCCTCGCTTCCCAGCACAGCTGCTCTCCTCGTTCTTCCTCACAGGCCAACTCTATGGACTGGAGAAGTTCTGGGCCTTCTTGAAATATTCCAAAGCCAAAAATTTGGACATTGACCCCAAACTGCAAGAATACCTCGGCAAATTCCGACGTCTAGAAGACTTCCGAGTGGATGTGAGTGAGAGCCTCTCTACCGTGTATCCTCTAGAGAGAAAACTCAGAGAATCAGGTGTCTGGTTCTGGTCCATGACTCCTCTGAAGCAGAGGATGAGAGTTGCCATCCGGCACTAAATGGAGTTGTTGGTTTGAGGCCTGCCCCTGTCCTTACCTCCCACAGCTCACCACCACTAGTGTCAGGACCAGCTGGGTACCTGTGCAAAATGGACTTGTTCTTTCTGGAAAAGGTCAGAGGTTTGTAAATGAATGTTAAGTTTCCTGGAACAATGAACGTTTCCTACGTCTTCTGGAACGGTGCCTCAGCAGTGACACCCTGTGGTAGATCTAGGTATTGATTCTGGCTATATCAAGGGAGGTGTTTTGGTTGGTTGGGTGGTTGGGTGGTTGGCTGGCTGAGTCAGGGTCTCTCTGTAGACCCTGACTGGCCTGAAACTCACTTTGTAGACCAGGGTGGCCTTGCTCTCACAGAGATCTGCCTGCCTCTGCCTCTGAAGTGCTGGGATTAAAGGGGTGCCCCACCACCTCCAGCAAAGGGGACATTTCATCTTCTGTTCAGTTGACTCAACAGATACTATGTGTCTCTGTCTGAAAGCACTTCAGGGTCCCAGAGATAGTGAGAGGCTCTCCTTCAAGAAGGCTGTAGTGGCTGGGAGTGTACCTCAGTGATGAGGTGCATGCTTAGCCTGTGCAAGACCCTGGGCATTAAAAACACCGATAACAACAGAGAGAGGGCCTTAGCTAAGAGTCCATAGAGCAGTAGAGATCTGTCATTCTCGTCGAAGTTTTAAGTCGGGGGCAGATATAAGTAAGTGACGGTAGTCTTTAAAACTGCCCCTAAATGTTTGCTATGCCAGACTTGAGCCCCCAGTGACAAGGGTAGGCAGGACTGTCACTACACAGGTGAGTAAACTAAGGCTCATGCTCACTGCAGGAGAGTGACAACACTGGTCAGGTCTCCCCACATAGAGGCCAGCGTGTTCTAACCCATTCTTTGGGAGGAACAGAGAGCCAGTAAGTGGTGGGCAGACTGGTGAGCTGGACCCACAGCTTGACTCTGGTACCCAGAAAGGGAAGTAAATGTCCTTGAAGTTGTGGGGCTTTCAGTAGTAGTAGGGCAGACTGAATCCATCTAGTTGTTGGCTGGTGGGCCTGATGAGGGCTAGAGGGAGGAAAGCATTGTCAGTGTCCCGTGGAGCTGAGTCACACAGAGCACCTGCATACCTTTCCTTCCTAAACAAGAGATTGTCTTCATAGAAGGGAAACAAATTTTGTATGAATAAAAATCCAGTCTTCAGGGTGCATAGACCTGAGTCTTGTCTTTGCCAGTTACCAGATTTGAGACCTTGTGCAAATTATTTTGTTGGTCAGTTTCCTCATCTGTTGTGGTGATAGATTAATATAGACCTTAGAGTAAGTCAAGAGAAGCTGCAGGCAAGGCAGAGTGTTTACAGTGAGGAGAGCCAGAAAGAGGTGAGAGCAAAGCAGAGGGCTGGGGAGAGGAGGAGAGAGAAGAGAAGTGTACCTGAGAGCCAAGTTAGTGGCGTTGGAGCAGTCCAGGTGGGTCCCTTGAGTAAGAACCGGTTTTGGCACCATCTGATAGGTAAAAAGTTGGAGAATGAGCGAATGGAGGAGGAGGCACCAGGACACAGATAAAACTCCATCAAAATAGGGTTTATTAGCAAAGGAACACATGGGACAGATTTTGCCTCCCAGGCAGGGAAAATGTCTGCCCAGATCGTGAGCTGGGGTCTTTTTTAAAAATGGGAGGCTTCTGCTTCCTGTAGAAGGCGGAAAGATGTCTTTTTTTAAGTTGGGGGTGGGGACTGTTAAAACCTGTTCTCTTTAGAGATCAAATGGGAAGCTTGCTGTGTTGGCCAAACAGTGGGGAAAAGTCTGCTTCTCTTGACTTAAAAGACCAGGGCGCTTATCAGCTTGGTTCCCTTTTTCTCAGGAGCATGAGAAGTCCTTGAGACCCTGTTGGTGAGGGGGTGGGGCTGTCTCAACCTTAACAATGTCCACATGAAAAGATGGGACAACCAGCACCTGTGAGTGCATTCTGTGCTTTTGGGCCAAGAGACCTGCTTCATTTATGAGACCAAAACCATTTCCTTCTTGTGGAAGTGAAAGAGCAGTCTATTGCTGGCCTTGGAAAGGGGTGTCTCTAACTACTTGTGATTCCTCTGTTGCAGCCCCCCATGGGTGAGGAAGGCAACCACAAGCGACACACAGCGATCGCAGGAGGTAGCGGTGAGGGCAGGAAGCGGTGCCCCTCCCAGTCTTCCAGCAGGCCTGCCCCCGGGGTTAGCCAGCCCCCCACGCCACCTACCGGCCAGGCCATCCGGGAAGATGCCAAATGGACAAGCCAGCACTCTGACACACTGACTATGGGAAAGTGAACGTCCTGAAGCCCCCTGGGGTTTGGGGAGAAGGGGTGGGGTGGGTGAGGATCCATTGGGGTGCCCAGTCCCAGGAGAGTGGACAGAGAAGGGACAGGCCTGGAGTTACTAGGACGGGCCATTGCGCTAAGTAGCAGTGTGTACACCATTTGGGCTATTATTAGCGGTGCCCCTGGGCAGGAGCCTCTATGGACCCCTTCCCCCTTGTGTCTCCATGACTTCCATCCTAGCTTTGAAGGGGGGGAGGGGAAGGGGGAGATTTTTATATATATATATACATATATATATATCAAGTTTTAAATTATTGATAGTTTGTCTGGATTACCAAAATCACTCTTCAGCCCTGCCTGCGGCTGGTAGGCCACAGCCCTGTCTCCCCAGCCTCTTCCTGCTCCCCCCAAGCCAACTATGCAGCCCACCAGAAGGTTCTGGGGGCGCCCCTGGGCCCCAGAAACACCAGCCCCCTGATGATCTGGGGTCTGCCACCACCGTGTCCCCTGCTGTCCAACCACGCCCTTCTGCCATCTCTGGGAGAAGGAAACCAAAGGATCTCAGGGTGGGGTTGGGAGCCTCAGCCGCCCTCCCCACCCCTGTCCCTCGCCCCAGCCCAGAGACGCTGCTCAAACCAGAAGAGACTATTGAAAGATGATTTATTTTTTTTTTTCTCTGACCTTTCCATCCTTGGGACAAAAGACAAAATCAACCATTCAAAAAAAAACAAAAAATCGGAAGCCCCCACCTAATCTGTAGAAAGTGATGTCTTTTCCCCTCCTTGGAATTCTTCTGTTTTGTTCTTGGAAATAATATTTTTTTAAAAGTTGCCTTATTGTGGAGCGGGAACCTGAAATAATGCCCAAACGCCTGTTTTCCTCGGTGGAGCCGCTGAAGCACCCACCCGCTTGGGATCTGCCTGGCTTGGACGGACCAGACTGTTCTCTGGACTGGGCTGCGTGCACAGGCCCTCCACCTGGAGGAGGCAGGCGCGTTGGGAGCGGCTTGCCCCGGAGTCGCCCGACACTCCTGCTGTGTCTGCACCACCGCCTCTGCCGTCCGTCAGCTTGCTGTCGCCTCACCCAGGCCTGTTCTGCCGTGACTCCCTTCGTCCTAGTCCTGGAGCCCCAAGGCCAAGTTTGCTTCAGACTGTTGGAAAACAGATGGGCTTTGGTCTGCAACACGTTTGCGCTTGGCCCGAGCATCTCCCCAACGCAGAATGAACACCCACTGGCCACGGCTTGGATCTGCGTCTGACCTCAGAGAGGTTTGTCTCTCTCAAGGTGGAGAAAGGTGCTGTTCTCCGAGGGTCTGGTGGGGTCTTCCGTCTTACACCCCCCCTCTGCAAGCCATCTCCGCCTACCCTCTCACAGACGCTGCCTGCCTGGGAGTAAGGGTTAGGAGGAACTGAGGCCTGGAGGATGCTGCCTGCCGACTGGTGAAGCCATGGCAGGAAGGTCTGTGGACATAGAGTGTACCTGACTTCTCTTCTCCAGCCAAGCCGGCCTACACATGCCAGAGGACTGGCTGGGGGCTGCTGGCATCAAGGAACGGAGGGAGGGTGATGAAGGGCGGAGCACACGGACTGGAAGACTGCATGCTCGTCCCCCGTCGGACACACGGTACACAAACAGTGTGGTGTCAGCTCAGAACTTTCTGTGGCCCTCCTTGTCACTGGGCTGCTCTGTCGTCCCAAAGGTTGGGCCGAGGAGATGGTGTCGCAGGCTGGCTCATCTTGCCCTCTGTCCTTGGGTACCTTGTTGTTTTGAACTCTTGCCCTGCCCCATTCTGACCTGGTGTTTAGTACATGGGAAGCCAGTGTTTGTTCCTCTGACCCAGTGGTCTCAAACCATACAGGAGCAGGGTCTGCTGACAGGATCTGAGGCCTTCCCCTGCCTGAGTCTGGTGCTGCCCCGTGGTGCACCGATTCCTGGGCTCTGGTCTCCTTCCCTTCCTTCCCCGTTTGCTCACTCAGCCCCATACTGTATCCAGCACCACAGAACCTCACAACCTGCGGGCCCAATGTGGGGAGAAGGGTGGTTCCTGACTAGACTATCCAGGCTAGGGCTGCCGTCATCTCTGACCCTCTCAGACCCCCTTGAGGGAGGTTGGGAGGGAACCCCTTTGGGGCAGGAAAGGGTATCATCTCAACACAGGCTGAGGAGCTGGGGGAGGGTGGTCCCCCACCTTTTTTTTGTAACATGTTAGGAGTTAATGTTGCAAAGAGTAGTTTACATCTTCACTTTCTGAAGACACTTGAATTTAGGACCGATGTATCTGTGACAAGTATGCCAGGAGGGGCAGGGGCCACCAGGGCAGCCACTTCCCCACCCACCATCTTCCCGTGGGATTGAAGACCTGAGACAGTGACAGCCTGCTGAACCGCCTTCATCCTCCGCCTGTGCTGGCTTGGTCCGTGCACCTGGGTCCTGGTGAGGGGTGGATCGTCTTTCCACCCTCTGAGCCTGGGCACAAATGTGCTACCAGAAGAGGCTGCCTGACCCATTCCAGCCTGGACCCAAGGCTCACAGGTGCTGAGCCCCAAGTCCGAGTTACATGTTTTTGTTTGTAGGTGCCCCCCCCCCCCCCGCACGCTTCTGATGACTGATTTATAAAAGTAAGTTGTTCCGGAGGCCTGCAGGTTGGGAGGGGGGCAGAGAGCATAATGACAAGGGTAAGGCAAAGGGAAGGTTGCCAAAGGCTTGGGTAGAGTGGTCTGGATCACCTGGCCCCCCTGGATGGGAGCCCCAAAGTACCTGTCGTATCAAAGGGCCCCCCCCGGGGGTCTCCCCCGCCCCCCCCCCCTCCGGCCACGGTGATGGCAGAGGCAGAAGAGAACTCCCAGCTGGTTTCTCACTGGAGAGGAAAGTCATCAGCTTTGCAGAGAAGGGTCCACCTTCTGCTTGTAGTACATGTTCTTTCCATGTGCTAGGAAATCACATTCAACAGGACAAAGAAATGTAAGATACTTGAATGAGCTTGTGTCATAACATTAATATTGAGAATCTGCGTTCCAGGCTGAAGTGGTTCCCAGTGCTCTAGGCCTCCTAGTCCTTTGTAATTTGTGGTAATTATGCTTTTCTTTTTAATACAAAAAAATGTATAAAAATAAAAATGTGAAAAGACAAAACCCTGGTTGCTCTCCCGTCTGGGACACCACTGTTGGGTGTGAGAGGGGCCCAGATGGAGGAGCTCACACTCAGCATGCACCCAGGGGTGCTCAGAAGAGGCAGCTATGGGCTCTTGAGAGAGTCTGCCCAAGGCAGGGCTCCCTCTGACTGCTGGTGCTTGTAGGTACCTCAAACCTACTTTCACCTTCTGTGTTTGGGAACCACAAATGGCACCACCCTAGCAGGTGGGGTTGTGGGGTCCTGCCCACTATGGTCTCACTTTCCATTCCCCAGCTGGGGTGTGGCATTTGCAAGAAGAAGGCTTGACCCTCCTCTCACAGCAGGCCCAGCCCTCTGAGCCTCCACCGCGGCAGTTATAGAACTGCAGCTGTGGTCTGAACGGTTTTCCACCTGACACTCGCTAGCTGATGGCCTTCAGGTGGGCAGCCACTCAGCTCCAAGTGGCCTCCATTCTGCAGACCACCAGGTCAGTCAGTCCTCCTCGCTCACCCTCATCCATTACTAGGATTGTGAAGGCCACTGGCTCTGCAGCTGAACAGCCTTAGCTCCCGGATGACAGGATGGATTGGAGTTGAATGGAGACTTTATTTACATGCCTCTCTCCTGTTTGTGGGGAAGTTCAGACCCTCAGCCTTACTCATCAACTTGACAGCCATTGTGGGGGATGCCAGAGAAGCTAGAGCAGGGTGTCCTGTCCAGAGGCCCCAACAGCACCATGGTGTGCAAAGCCCGCAGGGGGAGGTGCTCTGTCCTCGTCCCTGTCTCCTACGTACACTGAAGGTGGGCTTTTCTCAGACACTCATTTGTAGGAGGGGAATGGCTGCAGGCCACCTGGGCCAGATGAGGGTGGGGTTGTGGAAGCCAGGAGAGTGCTGCCTGCTTGCTTGCTAGGTGCCCAGTTGCTTGCTAGGCCGGTCTTCTGGCGCCTGTTCATAGGCAGGAATCCTTTCCCACAGTTGTGTCTAAAGAGCTCAATGCCGACTGTTGAAGCTTTGTTGTGTTTTTAAGATGGTCTTTCTATGTTGCCCAGGCTGGCTCTGACATGGGCTGAGGTAATCTTCCTGCTGCAGACCCCTGGGCAGCTGGGGTTGTAGTGCACACCACTGTACCCAGCTGTGTGTAGGTGTTTTATAAAAGTCACAGCGGGAATTTTCTTGCCTGAACGTGAACTGAAAATGCAAAGACAGCACAACTGTACAACTTAGCACGTGGTAATGGCAGCCTTCCAGATCAAAGCGTGGTCTCCTGGTGGTTCCTGGGAGCCCAGGGGAGGCTAGGGTGGGGTTTGCTCCCGTCCAGGCAGCTTTGGCTCTGACTTAGAGGCTGAGGATCCTGGGAAGAGCTCACTGTTGCAGCCTGTTGGAGCTGTTGCGTCCTGTTCTCACTGTTGCGGCCTGTTGTAGCTGCTTTGCTTTTTGGTCGTGTCTTCTGTGGCTCTTCGTTTGAGGAAGAAGCCTCTGGTTTGGGTTCAGAACGGCCAAGTAGGGCTGCCAATCCCGGCAGTGACTTGTCCTCCCCCAGGTGAGCAATCCTCAGCACACAGACTGAGGCACCGTGGTTGGGGTGTGCCTCATGTTGAGCTGTGTGTCTGTGGAGGACTTGTGTCTGTGGATGGGATAAGTGGACTGGACTTCATATGAAGGTGGGACATGGGAGACGCCTCTGGCATGTCGGTGCCTGAGGTCTGAGATTGCTGGGGTGTCTTAGCTTAGGCCAGGAAAAAGCCATTACACCCGGAGCTGTGAAGCCTCCAGACCCACTGCCAGCTCTCACTGTCCATCCTGCACAAGAGCTCTGTAGGGTAGAGGGGATGGGGTGGGGGGCAGGATTCACAGGGCTGGCCTCAGCCTGGGCACCTAGCTCTTCCTGTGTCTTAAGCCAACTCTGGGTCCCACAAAAGGATAAAGGCAGTTGGTGGGGGTGGAGGGGGGCAGATCTCCCCTGGCCTTGGTCTGACAAGACACTGGCTTTCCCTGTACCCTAATGCTACAATCCTTAGAGTGTGTGGCCAGACACGGCCATGACAGTTGCCACATTCCCATTTATTTATTTATTATTTATTTATTTATTTTGGTCTTTTTGAGACAGGGTCTCCCTGTAGCCCCAGCTGTCCTGGAACTCACTATGTAGACCTTGAATGCACAGAGATCACCTGCGTCTGCCTCCCAAGTGCTGGGATTAAAGGCATGCGCCACTGCACCAGGCCACATCCCCTTTTAAAAGGGTAGCCTGGACGGCGTGAGTGCCCTCTCAATCCATCTTCTTTGGAGGGTCAGGGATGCTCTCAGAGAGTGGGGTGAAGCCCAGCAGGAGGACGTGTCTTTCGTAGGCCTTGGTCTGCTTAAACATTGTGTCCGTCCCGTGCAGGTGGTCCAGCACCCCCAGCACTCCATAGCACTGGTTGAACCTGAAGGAGGGAGGGGAGTGTTGCCTGGCCAGGACTGGAGGAAGGCACAGGTCTCCTGTATTCCTCATTCCTCACCCCTCTGCCCACACCTGTCACCACATGCTGCCCACCTACACCAGGAGTTGCCTGGTTATGTGCTGGGTCCTCTGGAAAAGCAGCATGTGCTCTTAACTGAGCTATCTCCCAGCCCAAGAGAATTCTTAAAAGCCCACCTTCCTGGGGCCACTCCACAGCAGAACCTGAAGAAGGGGAGGGTTGTTCACTGGTTTTGTTGTTAATAAGTCTTAATTCTAGCCCAGGCTGACCTGGAACAGTAGTCCTCCTACCACAACCTCCATGGTGCTGGGATTAAAGTTGTGAGTCTCCACACCACCAGTTTTTGGAACTGGTGGATTGAACCTGGGTTGTGTAGAGAGCCTAGCATGTGTGCAAGTCCCCTTCCTAACCTTTTTGTGTGTTTAAGCAGTCAGTGTATGTGCTGGGGTGTATGCCTGTTATACAACACAGGGCCAGGGAAGGCATCGTATGGCCTCCTCTAACACTCGTTCTTTTGACTGGAACTCACTTTTTGGCTAGGTTAGCTGCCACCAAGTCCCAACAGTCCTCCTGTGTCTGCGCCTACCCCACCCCCTACCCCCAATGCTGGGGTCAGGATTGTGCAGAACTATGCCTATTATGTGGGTACAGGATCTGAACTCCAGTCTTAACACTTCCACAGCAAACACTTGACTGCTGAACATCTCTTCAGCCCCCCAACCCCTTTTGTAACCATGTGATTCTACTGTACAGCAGTGTGAAAAATTGCAGAACTAGGCTTGCTTAGATGCCCCTGAGGGCACCTTGGGACAGGCCTTGCTGCCATACCTGCTTTGTTCTGGCAGATTTGGAGTGGAATCCAAGAGCCTGTATGCTAAACAAGCATGTCTGGTGATGTTCACATTCTTCCCAGACTAGGGCTTCCAGAAAGCACGAGTGTGCTCCCCAGAGCCAGCCCTCTCCCCTCGCTGATATTGCAGGTAGAGACACCACTGTCTGCTGTGAGGCCTTTGAGGGTACTGTTGGCTTACTTGAGGTGGTGGTAGTCATGGAACTCTGGCGAAGGCAGGAAGGGTAGGTGGTAACCACAGTGGGAGATGGTAGTGATGATGAGGGCCAAGGACAGCCACACCGTGATGGAGGATAAATGAGAGCCCATCACTAAGGGACCTGCCATAACCGGCAACATGTTGGAGGCCTGCAAAACAGGGTGATTCCAGGAGATGGAAGGGCCAATTGGGTTCCACTTGGCCCTGCAGGAAGACAGCCTTGACTTAGACCAGCAGGTGCTCGGGGCAGATCTCCTTAGTTTCATTATCAACAAAGCCCAAATGGGTTGAAAAGAGTAAATTCGGTATGGACATTAGACATCAGGTTCCGAGCACAGCCTGACCTGTGACTGGTGGACGCAGATGGCAACTTCGACAGGAAGCAGAAAGAAAAGGCCCATCTGGTTGGAGTGCAGGAAACCCAGCCTCCACCCTAGACTCCGGGAGCGGCACTCACCACGTGCTCTATAGGGTGGGCATAGGTGGAGATCACGCCAATGGGAGCAGTCCATTCATGATGTTTCTTGTGAATCTTCTTGTACAGGGCTGGGTGGTGAAGCAGCCTGGGAAAATGATTCCATAGATGATAGTCTGCCAGCTCCCCTTCACCCCTCACTGAGCAGACCATCAGAAGGCAAAGGTGGGACCTGGGATCACATCTGAGGAGCTGGCACTCGTGCCCTTGATCCTTGAGTCGGCATGACTGACACTGCCTCTCGACCCTAAGTGTTCGTGAAGTGGGATGATGCCCAAAAGGGACTTTGTAAAAAAGTGGACAGAAGCTAGCTCTCTCCCTCCCACCCAGATGGGGCAAGCCTTTCTTCACTGGGCATTCGCATTCCATTTATCTCAAACTGGAGAAGTGGTTGAGCCTCTGTTAACTGTTTGGTGGGGTTTGAGGCCAGGGGGCTTTGGTCCCACTGCAGTGGCCTCTGATCTCCTGCTGTGTGCAGAATGAGGCAGCTGTACGTGCGTGTGCAGGGAGCTCACCTGTGTGAGTAGTAGAACAAGACTTCCTCCACAAGGGTGAAGACGGCCAGCTCCACGAGGAACCAGTGGAAGGTGGGAAGCTGTCGGCCGCAGGGCTCTCCCCTCCACTTGAAGAAGGGGTAGGAGAGGAGCAGCATGGGTATGGAGATGATGGTCTGGTTGAAGAGAACTGTGGGAAGACACTGGCACAGCTTCACGGGGTCCACCTGCCCATGGGGAGGGGCGGGGAGAGGGCCAGTGAGAAGCAGGTCTTTCCCTTCTGGAAGACATGCCCCATCCACCACAGCTTGCTCAGAATGGGATTCTAGAAATGACAGTGATGGGTAGCATTGTCCAAAGCCTGGGGCTGGCCACAGCAGGTGAGCAGTACCTCCCTGGCCTGTCTTTGGAAACTGCCCCCAGCAGCCTGCCTCCTCCCTGTTGTGCAGACAGCACCCATGGTCCCCTATTTCTCAGGCCAAGGCCCATGAATTCCCACTCTAACATTTGCTGCCAGCTCTCAGGCTGAAGTCAGAGCAGCGCTCTAGCCTTTCCTGGAGGAAGTTCGTCCTCGTGTATTCAACCTCACTGGACTGGCCCCAAGTAGAGCGACAGGCTGGGTATGGACTCTCTTAGCTGAGGTGGGGACCTGCTCACGCCTGACCATCGGAGTAGCATCTGCATTGAGCAGCCTGCTCTGAGGTCACGTGGACAGTCACAGCTGCTTCGTGGTCTGCGTTCAACTGGTACCGTGAGTGAGCTACAGGCCGAGCTACAGGCCGTAGTCGGTGAAAAAGACCCTGACCCAGAGTGTTCCCAGGGGAGGCCAACCTGAAAGAAGAGGTAAGAGGATGGATGTGTGAGGTGACAGGAATCTTGGTAGAAAGAAAGGTCAGGAGTGAGTGGACTGTGGGAGTTCAACAGGGTGTTCAAGGTAGGCCTTGCTGGGGTGGTGAGATTCAAACGGGTGTGCAGAGGAGGCCCAGCCTGCCTGGCACCGGGCGGGCTGCAAGCCCGGAGACACTAGTGAAGGCTTTGAGGCATGCACCTCCCCACCACCCTGTGACCGGAGAGGAATGGGTGAGAAGCAGGAGAGCATGGGCAGCCAGGAGGACGGACCATGTGGGGCCTCGCAGGCCACTGGAGTGCCCTGCGGGGAACAGGAGGCAGTTGCAAAGCTGGAAGCAGGGCTCCCAGCGGCACTGGCTTCCGCACTGAGAAGAGACCAGAGAGACGTGACTGAAACAGGGTCAGAGCTGCCAGAAAACAGACAAGGTGATGGTGATGAGAAGGGGGGCAGCAGGGTGTGGCCCTGATTCTGGGTGTTCTGGAAATAGGCAGTAGAGTTTCTCGAAAGATGGGCTGTGGGGAATGAGGGAGCAAGAAGCCCAGTGGGTCGGCAGCTCACCTGGTCGCCCAGTGCTCAGGAGGCTGAGGCAGGAAGGAGTATGGCAGCAGGTTGAAGCCAGCCCAGGCACACAGGGAGACCTTGGCAAAAGCAACTCACCTGGTGCCATCTCAGGTCCAGGAGGCACTGGCTGAGCCTGGGTTCAGGTGAGAGTTCTGGGGTGGCACATGGATGTTACTTAAAGTCACAGCACCGAAGACATAACTAAGACATAACCATAAGACTAAACACTGAAGACATGAGGGTGAGGAAGAGGCCCCAGGGGATTCGACATTAGAGGATGGAGAGATGAGAAGCCTCCAGAGGGGTTCAGGAGAGAGCCGGGTGGGGTGGGGAGGGGCCAATGACACTCTGGACTGCAGAACCTGCAGGGCAGCTCTTGGGGCTCAGAGATTCGAAAAGACGGACGTTCGTTTGCCGTTCTTTAGGTTGAGCTACAGATATGGCTGAAGGATTGATAGGTGAAGTCTTAAAATGTCTCGGACTACCTTCATTTAATTGAAAATCATACGTATTTTTATTTTATTTTTGTGTGTATGAGTGTATCCCTGCATGTGTGTAAGCATACCCGTGTCATGCAATGCCACGGAGGTTAGAAGAGAGCATTGGATCCCCTGGAATTGAAGTTATAGATGGTTGCTAGCCGCCATGTAAGTGCTGGGAATCGAACGTAGATCCTCTGCAAGAGCAGCCAGTGCTCTTAAACACTGAGCCATTTCTCCAGACCCAGAATCATATTTTATGAAGAGGCAAAGCCAGGCATGGTGGTGCATGCTTTTAATCGAGCACTGTGGAGGCAGAGGCAGGTGGATCTCTGTGAGTTCAAGGCCAGACTGGTCTACATAGTGAGTTCCAGGCCAGCTGGGCTACAGGGAGACCCTGTCTC